CACCCAGACTCCTGGGTTCTCTTGTGGGGGGCACCTAGCAAGGCCAACTGAGCCCTCAGATCATCTGGCAGCCCTCATCAGACCAGCAGGGTTCAGACTTTCTGGAACCCTGAGGAGGGGGTGTGGGAGTGGGGTAAAGGCCTACTGTCCACCCTGCGGCCCCTCCACCCCCCCACCCTCACAGAAAATTATCTTTTACCCTCCCCACCCCACCCCCACCCGTAGTGCCGCCCCCTCAAACCCCATACGCACGTCCCAACCTTCTTCAGTCTTCCTAGCTTCTCAGGCAGTGAAGCCGGGCCTGAAATGAACATACAGTTTATTTAGGACAAAGGACTTTAGTGCTCCACTCAACAAGCAAATAAGAGGCTGGAGCCTCGGGCAAGGCTGGGGTGGACAGGTGTGGCAACGTGGGCCAATCTGGAAGCAGATTGGGCTCTGGGTGAGCTGCAAGTTCTCCACCACCACACCACCACCACCGTGTAAGCTCTGGCGCTCAAGACCCCAGACAGTCCCAGGGAACGGGCTGGGGGCCGGTGTGGGCTTGGGCACATGCCTGTGCTTCCCTGAGCAGCCAGGGCCAGAGATCAGACTCCACAAGGCTCAGAGGGTTCATGGAGAAAGGGGAGGAGGAGCCCGAGGCGTGGCTCCCTGTCTGTCCTGGGCCTGGGGTGGGCAGATCCTCCTGCGTCCTCCAGTCCAGTCTGGAGTTGGATGCTCTGTGGCTGGAGCAGCGTGCCTCAGGTGACACCATTTTAGGAACATCTCCCTCGAGGGTGGTCTCAGCCCAGCAATGGATGCCTGGCAAGAGGGCCTAGAGTCAGCATGGGCTGGAGGTTGGGGGTGGCATCACATGTGATTGTAGTCACAGCTCCACATCTGGCAAGGCTGTCCCTTATTTCCCCCCAGCGTCATGCCCCTTGCTTCTGGGAGCCCGCCTGGTCCTGCCCCACTGGGCTGGCCTCTGAGCCGGGTGGTGGGTGCAGGAGGCGGGTGCGGCCACCATTGTGCAAGGGGTGAGCTCACCCGCCATGCCCAGCCCGGCCTGCACTGGCCTGCCCGCTGCTGGTTAATCATTGTTCAAACACCCTTGCAGGCAAGTGGGCTGTGGAGGGAGACGTGACAGGGCAGGGCCGCCTCCCAGGTCTCAGCAGAGCTCAGCCAGCAGGCCCGGGGCCGGAGCCGGAGCCATTCCCCAAGACCCCACAGGGAGCAGCCTGCAGTGAGGCTGAGACCCCTCTCCTAATTCCTTCGGAGGAACTCAGTAAATATTTTTGATGGACTCAAAGAACATCTCTTTGTAGGTTTCCTGTCTTGGGGCAAACTCCCAGTAGTTTAGTGGCATAGCTATGAAGGCAGGCCGCAGAAACCAAATGCCTTGGGTCAAACCACAGCCCCGTCACTTACGGGCCGTGTGAACTTGGTTGAATTTCATAATCTCTCTGTGCCTCAGTTTCCTGGGCTGTACAAAGGTGTTGATAAGGATGATGGTGTCGTCCTCATAGGATTAGGATATATATAAAGTGCTTACTAGGCTCACGACAAAGAAACCCCAGTGCCCGGGACTGAGACTGAAACACTCAGCACTGTGCCCAGCTCATCCCCAAAAGGAAGAGGAGTGGCCCGCAGGGGATGGGCCGGGCTTTTTGTACACCCACATGTTCTCTTGTGAATTAGGTACAACTTTCCCCACTTCTCAGATGAGAACACGTGGGCTCAGGAGAGGGGTGGGGAGGGCTGTCATGTGTGAAGCAGCTGCTGAAGGTCACAAGGTAGAAATGACACAGCCAGGTTTCAAGCCGGGGTCCATCTGCACCCAAATGCTGTGTTCTCCCCATTGCCCACCCCTGCCAGGCTTGCAGATGAAAGATGCAGATCTGAACTTGCCAGGCAATTAAATTCTGCCCATGCTCATTGACATCCTCTGAGCTTGGGGGGTAGGGGGGCGTCAAGGAGGCTCTGGGCTGAGTTTGCCGTGAGAAAGACAGAGATCAACAATGCCCAGCCCAGTCCCTGGGCCCAGAGAGCCCCTGTTGGATGAGGAGAAAGCATGAGCTGTGCACTGCCTAGCAAAAGCCCAGCACCACCATGCCTGAGACATAGGCGGCTCCAGGACCCGCAGAGAGGCAGGGTCTAGGAGGCAGCTGGTGGGAAAGGGGCCTTGAAGCAGCACTCTGGCTTTGATTTTTGTTATTTTTTTCAGTGTGTGTACATTTGGCATGGTTTGGGTAAGGGCAAGCTGCAGAGATCAGAGGCCTAGAATCCCCTCCTCCCTCCTACCCCAGACTTCCCCACGGTGCTGCTCCTAGCTGGGACTGAGTAGAGACGGCCATAGAGACAGGTGCCAGACTCCTGTTAAGGACCCTGGTGGAGGAGCACTCGTCTCCTGGAAAGAGCCTCTTGGGCCTACTTCAGAGCTGTGCCTTGAGGGAGAGTTCCTCGCATCAGGCAGCTTGCCCCGGGGCCTGTGGGGCACTTGTGGGGCCCCGTGGGAGCCTGCACACCATGGGACAGGCAGCTGGGAAAAAAATCCATGTCAGACGTGCAATCTGAGACCTTGTGAAAGAAAGGACCTTGAAGCCAAGGAATGCGGCTCAGGGACCTGTGTGTGTGTACGTGTGTGTATGCACGCATGTGTGTATGTTCGAGTGTGTGTGTTTCTCTGTATCTGTGTGTGCATGAATGTGTACTGGGGGCTGACTAGGGCAGCAATGTTCCTTCTCAGAACAGTGAAATTGGCAACGGCCATCTCACGGCAGCCCTGGGAACCTCTCCCTGCCTTAAGGGCATGCCAGCCTTCTTTCTGGGGGATTCCCACCCACACATGTCCTCGCTCTAATGCTCAGTGCCTCCTGCCTTCTCATGCAAACAGGCTCTCAGAATATCCTCTGAGAAGCTCACTTCTCAGAGCTGTTGGTGACTGAAAATGAGGCCCCCTGTGTGGCCCTCCCAGCCACTCCCACCTTCCAAGGACAGTCCTCCTGTCACTACCTGCATGGCCACAGCTGTGACCAAGGAGGACCCTGGCTTTCTAGGATGCAGAGGCAGTCTGCTCCTGCCTGGCTCCTGCTGGAGATGGAAGACATGCCTGGGTGTAGACAAAAGGCGCTGAAGCCAATCGTGGCCACCATGATGCATTCCAGCCCCTGAGGTCAGACGGAATCAGGGACTCTCCTACCTGCTTGCTGACACACCTGAGAAGCCTCGGGCCCAAGGAGACACTCCCTGGCCATGGTTGAAGCCACAGATATAGGTGTCGGGGGACATAGGTGAGACTCTGGTGGGGCAGGAAAAGTGTGTGCGATACATGGCATTGGTGCCAGACAGGTGTTTGGAAGATATGAGAAATGCTAAAGATGGCGAAAAAGTTGTCATCTCCTCTCCAATCTGTCCTCTACGCACACCTCCAGTATTATCTTCTCTATCTCAGCCAGTCTAGCTGCTCAATGACACATGGTGGTGGTGTTAGGGAGGTATGCGGTGTTCCTGGAAGATACACAGATTATGGAGGAAGTGAAAGTTCTAATATCTTCTTCAATTTGTACTCTACACACACGCAACCATTATCATCTTCCTGATCTCAGCCAACGTGGCCATTCAATGATGATCAGGTTCTTAGGGTAAACATTAGTGTCTCCTAATCCCGAAAGATAAGGTGGGAAAGGGTCTTTGGACCCATACCCTTGCCACAATGAGATATGTTACAATGAAAGCAAATTTCAGACCATATTCTGCCACAAAGACATACTTTTATCAGCAAATAGTCACAAAAATAGTCATTTGGCCTCCTCCACGAAACTTGGGGCATCCCCCTTCTCTATCCCTAGGCATGCTGATAAGCACTCACGTGGCAAGTCCAGGAGCTCAAAGATACAGCAAAGCTCTGTCAGTCGGACCAGCCGAGCTTCTGGTTGAGCCAGGAGACAGAGCCTTCTACCAGAGTTGTCGAGGCCAAGAGGGGACTCAGAATCAAATAGGAATAGACCTAGAGCTACCAGTCCCTGGGTGTCAGACACCCAGGTTTGCTAGATTCTTCTGTCTTATTTAAGCAAAGACATAGGTGCCTAAACCATCTTTCCAGCCAAATATAGTTCTTGAATATCACCCACCTCACCAACAACAAATTATCTGGACATTGTTTATGCTAGTTAATGAATTTTGGGGAGGAGATTTAAATAACTGTATTTGAAGCCCTTGCTAGCCACTTCTAGGGTGTCAGTTTACTTTAAGTGTTAACTCATCATCCCTAGAGAATACGTTACAATGAGCTCACACACAAACACACTATCTCTTCTGTTCATACAGTGGAGCTTTAAAGTCACAGACATTACACTAACCCAGGGCATAACCCTTGGTGCTATTGATATTTTGAGCCAGAGAATTTGTTGTGGGGGGCAGCCTGAGCATTGCAGCCTTTAGCAGTGAAAGCCAGTAAAGCCAATACTTGGCGTTTATATAGTAGATAATAGCAGCAAACCCCGACTCCGCCGCCAACTTGCGATGACCAAAAAGGCCACCATACCTTGCCAGCTGTCCCCTAGGGGCAAAATCTCTCTGGGTTGAGAACCATGGAACTAGAGTGACCATATTTATTGTCCACTCTGGGACACTTTCTTCTTTTCTGGGACACTTCACATACCCAAAAATGTTAACTAAATATAAAAATAGAGAGACTAGTTTCATCAACCCCCCACCGCCCCATGTGTCCACCACTAAACCTCCATAATTGTCAACTCGACCAATTTTATTTCATATCCACTCCTACTCATTTCCTGCCATCACTTCCCCTTGCTACATTGGTTTGATGCAAATTCTAGACAATATTCATCTATAAATATCTGTGTCTAGCTGTGTTTTTAGATTTCTTAGTTGGTACATAATAATTGTACATATTTATGGGGTACATAGTGATATTGATGGGTATACAATGCGTAGTGATCAAATCAGGGTAATTGGCATATTCATCTCTCAAACATTTATCATAAAATATGGAATGCTGCCCGTTGGCAGACTTCACAGCAACCAGCACCATGCCTATGATACTGGGGTCCTGGGACATCCGCGGGCTGGCCCACGCCATCCGCCTGCTCCTGGAATACATAGACTCAAGCTACGAGGAAAAGATGTACACGATGGGGGACGCTCCTGACTATGACAGAAGCCAGTTGCCGAATGAAAAATTCATGCTGGGCCTGGACTTCCCAATCTGCCCTGCTTGATTGATGGGGCTCACAAGATCACCCAGAGCAGCACCATCCCGTGCTACATTGCCCGCAAGCATGACCTGTGTGGGGAGACGGAAAAGGAAAAGATTTGGGAAGACATTTTGGAGAATCGGCTTATGGGCAACTGCATGCAGCTGGCCAGACTCTGCTACGGTCCAGATTTTGAGAGACTGAAGCCAGAATACCTGGAGGGACTTCCTGAAATACTGAAGCTCTACTCACAGTTTCTGGGGAAGCAGCCATGGTTTCTTGGGGGCAAGATCACCTTTGTGGATTTCATCGCTTATGATGTCCTTGAGGGAAACCAAGTATTTGAGCCCACCTGCTTGGACGCCTTCCCAAACCTGAAGGACGTCATCTCCCGATTTGAGGGCTTGGAGAAGATCTCTGCCTACATGAAGTCCAGCCACTTCTTCCCAAGACCTGTGTTCACGAAGATGGCTGTCTGGGGCAACAAGCAGTGCCTTGAAGGCCAGGCGGTGGGCCTACCTGATCCTTGCCTTAGGCCTACCTGATCCAAGTAAAGCCTCAACCACACACACACACAAAAAAAAAACTTGATGCTTCACAAATTTGCATGTGATCCTTTGTGCAGGGGCCATGCTAATCTCTGTATCATTCCAATTTTGGTATATGTGCTGCCAGAATGAGCACTAGGTCTATCTATCTATCTATCTATCTATCTATCTATCTATCTATCTATCTGTTATCTATCTATCTATCATCTATCTTTAAAAGATAAGAACTCTTTTTTTTTAGATGAGGTCTCACTATGTTGTCCAGGCTGGAGTGCAGTGACTCCACTGAATGAAGCAAAGCCTGAATCCCACGGCACTCCAGCCTGGGCAACACAGTCAGAGTAGCAGGATCCAGCCTGGGCAGCATACCCAGAGCAGGTGCAATCCCACTACTGAACAGGACGGGAGTTCCGACCTGCTCCGTTTCCAACCTGGGCCGGTTCACCCCTCCTTAGGCAACCTGGTGGTCCCCTGCTCCCTAGAGGTCACCATATTGATGCTGAACTTAGTGTGTACACCCAACTGGCATAATGCACTACAGCCCAGAATTCCTGGGGTCAACTGATCCTCCTGCCTCAGCCTCCAGAGTAGCTGAGACTACAGGCAAGCGCTATCATGCCCAGCAGAACTCTTTTGTTGTTGTTGTTTTTTTGAGACTGTCTTGCTCTGTTCCCCAGGCTGGAGTACAGTGGCGTGTATTAGGCTCAATGCAACCTCTGCCTCCCAGATTCCTGTCTCAGCCTCCCAGGTAGCTGGGATTACAGGCATGTGCCATCTTGCCTAGCTAATTTTTGTATTTTTTAGTAGAGACAGGGTTTTGCCATGTTGGCCAGGCTGGTCTTGAAGTCCTGGCCTCATGTGATCTGTCCACCTTGGCCTCCCAAAGTGCTGGGATTACAGGCATAAGCCTTCTTGCCCAGCCCAGAATTCTTTTTTTTTTTTTTTAAATGTAACTATAATATTATTATACTTGAAAAATTAAAAATAATTCTTTAATATCATAAAATATCCATTATGTAAAACCAGGATACTCTTGAGAGTATAACGGGCAATCAACTTGCTAGGAGAAGCAGCATAATTGGAACTGTCCAGGCAAACCAGGACTGGGCCAGGCATGGGGAACATTTGTTTTCCTAAATATAACCCTTTCTAATGCACGTGTCTGCAAATTCATTCCTCTGCTCAAAGCCTCCAAAGGCTCCCAGAACTTACATAGTCTCGACTCAGCCCAAGGCTCGAGGCCCTCTGTGGTGTGGCCCCCACTGGCCCCTGCCTTCTCCCCCGACATCCTCCTGCTGCTGATGCGGTTCCAGCTGGTGACTGCATCACCCAAGGAATCTGGTGACAGCAGTGGTAGTGGGCTGCTACCACTCCCTACTGTCAGAGATGCTGCTGCATGGGCATGGCACTGTGCATGCTGGAGACACTGGCAGGCAGCCTGGACATGGTATTTTGTTCATTTAGATTTTAGCTGTCCCTCTAAGGTACCTGAATTTGAATGTTAGCAGAAGTAGGATATTAGGGTTTGCTGTGAAGACAGTTCTGGGCTAGAGGTGCCTCAACCTGGCCTGATTTTTGTTGTGGGGAAGAGGTCGCTTCCTTCTCTCTTTTCTTTTTTCAAACATGTACCCGGAGTGTACTTTGCTCTTAAGAAACTAAAACTACTAACTCCTAAGTGCTGAGGGCTCCTATTCATTCTCAGCCATACCCAGGGCAGGGCATGGAGCTGGGGCTCCACCACGGTGTGCAGAGAGAGCTGTTGGGAGTGTGGGTGCCATCATCCCTGCACAACATACAGACAGACCACAGACACACACACACACAGAGCCCCACCTGTTAGATGAGTGTCAGTTCCGCCGCTTCCCCAGGGGTCTTCTCGGAGCCCAGGGCTCCTGCTCAAGACCAACTGCCTTCTGTGCCTGGAAGAGGCAGAATTTCTTTCCTCTTTACAAACTGAGCTCTAAGTCAGGTTTGCTGGGTGACTTCTGTCTCTGAGTCCCTACAAAGTTCCTGAAGGTTGAATTTGGGGACTTTTGGCAGAGTACAACTCTGAAGAATGAAAGAAAGCCATTCTGCCTGACATGAAGCTAACAAATAACTAGAAAAGTTTTCCTACAAGGATCTAATCCTCGGAGCTGTCTCAGACTGCATGCCCAAGGCCCACTGCAGACTGGCCCGTGTAGTTCCTGGTCATCATCCACCAGGATGCCTGCCAGTCAGACCTCATCCTGGTGCTGTCAGAACCCCTTTATCCCCACATTAGCCAGGCCACCATTCATCCACTCAACAGAGAGGTCTCGTTGGTCTGGGTCTCTACCCAGCCCACAGCAATGCCCAGTACCTGGTGCAGCCTTGTGGTGGCCTGCTGCCTGCCCTGTTCTCTGCTGGGTACTCTTTAGAGCCCTGCAGGTCCTTTCCAGCTGGCACACCTTCATTCATTTACTTACTGAGGTTCTACCACGTGTGCCGGACACAGGAGTAGGTGCTGGGACACGTTAAGACAAATCCCCCTACATCACAGGGCTTACATCCCGGCAGGTCAGGCACCCAGGACACCACAACGAATTTTCTTACTGGGGTTGGCTTCTTCTTTATCCTCAGAGTGCTGGGATCCTTTTGCAAATTATTCTTTTCTTCCTGAGGGACCTGATTTGCAGACCCAGGGGACTTCACAGTGGCTTGCCTACATCAGGCCACAAAAGGTTGCATTGCGACCTCACCCTGGGCAATGTCGCCAGTCCCTCCATCTCCAGAATAGATCTGCCAAGTGGCCATTCTCTGAAGAAAGGAGATGGGGTTCAAAGTGATTTGCTATTTCCAGTGGAGTGCCATGTATGTTATGTTTGTGTGTGTGTGTGCGTGTGTGTGTGTGTGTATGTGTGTGTCATGTGTATGGCAGTGGGGATTTAGGCTTCTATGTGCAATCTGGTGAATTCTATAAGAATTTTATGTGGCATCTAAAAGGATTCTATGAAGCTTCTATATGGAATCCATTAAGATAGCATAAGGATTTTGCGTTCATCCACAAGAAGTAGACATGGGTTCTATAAAGATTCGAAGAGGTCTTAGTGTGTGAGCAGCTGAGGCCCTGAAGTGTGGGTGGAGGAGCAAGGGCTTTGCTTTCAGTTGCACCCACACAGCCAGAAATGAGCTCCCACCCCCACTTCTCTTCCCTTTTAAACTGTGTAGCATTTCTTGTCTGCTGGGCTCTCCTTTTGCCCTGTACAGAACCAATTTAATGAGATGAATTAAAAAAAGGAATAAAAGGAAAAGAGCAAACAGCACATGTGGCCCTTGGCAGAGGACATCCTCCGGCATGAGACTCGAGGCGCATCAAAGATGCCGAGAGACAAACACACAGCGCCCGCCCCTGCCAGCGCCATCACTGTGACGAAGCCCAGTGGCTTCCAAAAGCCATCGAGCCACTTCCAGCTCCAGCGGCTCCCCGGAGCCCTCCTTTTCTGAACCTTAGGGATGCGGGCAAGTGGGCAGCAGCCCTGATGGCCCGGGGAGGTTCAACTGCTCCCACGTCTGCTGGCTCTGGGTAACTCTGCAGGTCCCCACAGGCCCCATTCTCTGCCCTGGGTGGTGGAGGACAGCCACACACACAGGCAGCCAGAAAGAAACCAGAGCGTCCTCAGGCCTGGGGCTGGGGCTGGAGGGGAGAAGAGGGAGGGCCTAGATCTGGGGCTGGGCAGGGCTCTTGTGAGTTAGAACCTCAAGGCCTTCCTCCTCCAAGAACCATTCCTAGGCAACTGGCACCATTCCAGCAGGCGGAATCGTTTTTCATTTTATCTGACTTTCCTCTAGGGCCAGCGCTGTCTGGCAGATTTTTCTGCATTGATGAAAATGTTCTGTATCTGTATCTGCCTTATCTGACACAATCACCTTTAACCAAAGGTGGCTATTGAGCGCTTGAAATGAGGCTATGGTGACGAAGAGACTGAATTTTCCATTGTACTTAATTTTAATGAATTTAACTATAAATCGTCAAATGCGGCTGGCAGCGACTGTGGGAGACAGTGTGACCGTGAGCAGGGCTCCTGTCTGATTCACTGACGCCCTCCTCTCTAAAACTACAGTCCCCCAAGAGGGGCTGGCCCAGGCCGGGCTGCAGCAGCCTTCGTCTTTCTGTCTGTGGGACTTCCTCCCAGCTCAGCTCACACCTGTCTGCAGGTGGCTCTTGTTGGTGGTCCCCACTGGGCACAGGTCACCAGGGCTGAGGGTATGCCTTGGTCTGGGGTGACTGAGGAGACCCGGGATCTAGTCTGAGCATAGCCCCATGCTCTGTATGTGACCCTGGGCAGGTCTGCCCCTCTGCAGTGACGGAGCAATGACTGACTGGGCCCGAGGTTCAACAACAGCCTCACACCGCCTCCCCCACCCCTCCACACCGCCCCCGCCACCCACCCCAGTGGGCTGGGGTCAGGGAACTAAAGCCCACGGGCATTCTGGGTCAGCTTCCTAGCTTCTCCTCTTCTCCCATCAGGCCCACCAGTGGAGATCATTATCCAAATGGTAATGGTTAAGAACTTGGCTTTGGGGCCAGACTAGCTTTAAATCTCAGCCCCACTACTTACTAGCTGTGGAGCTCCAGTACCTTTCACTGTTGAGTGGGAGTTACATCTGGTGTCAGAGGTCCTGGGTTTAAATCGGGGTGTGCTAGAGACAACTTGAAGACACCCATGAGAACAGCTTTGTCCTATTTTCAAGGGATTTTCTGAGCCAATTGATGAACACAACTGTTTAATATAAAAATTAAATTATTTAATTTATTAAATAATAAATTAATAAAATGATCAATAAAAATTAAATACACAAATAATTATTTAAATAATATTTAATTATATATAATTGTTAAACCCCTCTCTGTCGTCTACTATGTGGTTCTCGAGGGCAAGGATCGAGTGGGAATTATTTATGACAGTCACTCCAGGGACTTTTCCAAACCCTCTTCCTCCTGCAGTTCCGATGCGCGCGTTCCTCCTCCAGGTGTGAGCAGAAGGAAAACAGGGCACAGC